TGCGCGGTCATCTCCTTAGTACAAGTAGTGTCCTGGGCATGGGTATCTCTTTAGTATAAGTGTGTCCTGCGGCATGGGTCTCTCGTTAGGTGAGTTACGTTCCTGGGCAGCTGGGTCATCTCGTTAGTTATAAGTTTGTGTCCTGGCATGGGAGTCATCTCCTTAGTATACAGTAGTGTCCTCTGGCCATGCGGTCATCTCCTTAGTACAATTTGTGTCTGGCATGGGTCATCTCCTTAGATAAGTAGTGTCCTGGGCATGGGTCATCTCCTTAGTAAAAAAAAAAAAAGTTTTTTTATTTTTTTTTTAATTTTAGATATGAGTAGTGTCCTGGGATGGGTATCTCGTTAGTATAAGTTGTGTCCTGGAGCATGGGTCATTTCCTTAGAATTTTTTTTTTTTAAAATATTAATTAAAAAAAATACAAGTGTGTCCTGGGCCTGGGTCATCTCCTTAGTAAAGGTTAGTGTCCTGGGCATGAGGTCATCTGCGTTAGTATAAGTAGTGTCAGCTGGATAGGGTCATCTCGTTATATTAATAGTAGATGTCTCTGGGCATGGGTATCTTCGTTAAGTATAAGCTAGCTGTCCTGGGCATGGCGTCATTCGTTAGTATATAGATTAGTGTTCCTGGGCATGCGGTTCATTCATTAGTTAGTGTGTCATGGCATGAATAACGGCGTCATCTCGTTTAAGTATAAGTAGTTCTGGGCAGTGGGTTCACCTCTGGCATGGGTCATCTCACTGGTATGGGATATATCCTTAAGTGAAAGTAGCTGTCCTGGGCATGGTTTCACTCTCCCTGTTAAGTATGTGTCTGGGCCATGGGTCATTCCTTAGTATGAGGGGGTGTCCTGGCCATGGGTAATCTCCTTGTACGTAGTGTCCGGGCCATGCGATCATTCTTTAGTATAGTTGTGTTCGCTGGGCATGGGTCATCTCCTTAGTGTAGTTAGTTGATCCTGGCCATGGGCCTTCCTTAGTACAAGTAGTGTCCTGGGCATGGGTCATTCTTTAGTTTTAAGTAGTGTCCTGGGCAGGGTCATCTCGTTAGTATAGTTGTGTCCTGGGCATGCGGTCATCTCCTTAGTATAAGTTAGTGTCTGGGCATGGGTCATCTCCTTAGTATAAGTTGTGTCCTGGGCATGGGTCATCTCCTTAGTATAAAGTTGTGTCCTAGGCATGGGTTCACCTCTTGGGCATGGGTCATCTCCTTAGTATAGGTTGTGTCGTGGGCACTGGGCATCTCCTTAGTATATAGTGTGTTGCCTGCGGCATGGGTCTCTCCGAGTATAAGTAGTGTCTGGGCATGGGTATTCCTTAGTACAAGTAGTGTCCTGGGCATGGGTCATCTCTTTAGTATAATGGTGTCTGGGATGCGTATCTCTGTAGTATAAGTTGTGTCCTGGGCATGGGTCATCTCCTTTAGTGATAAGTAGTGTCCTGGGGATGGGTCATTCCATCTGTATGAAGTGTGTCCTGGCATGGGTCATCTCGTTTGTATAAGTAGTGTCCTGGCATGGCGTCATTCTTCCTTGTATAAGTGTGTCCCTGGGCATGGTCATCTCCTTAGTTAAGTTGTGTCCTAGCGATGGTCATCTCCTTAGTACGTAGTGTTCCTGGGCATGGGTTATCTCTTTAGTATAAGTAGTGTTCCTGGCATGGGTCTCTACTTAGCTACAAGTAGTGTCCTGGCATGGTCATCTCCTTGTTACAAGTAGTGTACCCTCAGGCATGGGTCATCTCCTTAGTATAGGTACTTGTGTCTGTGGCGAATGGGTCATTCTCGTTGTTAAGTAGTGTCTGGGCATGGCGTCATCTCTTAGTATAAGTAGTGTCCTGGGATGAGGTCATCTCCTTATAAAGTAGTGTCCTCTGGGCATGCGGTCATCTCCTTAGTACAAGTTCTGGGTTGGGTGGGTCATCTCCTTAGTATGAGTTAGTGTCTGGGATGGGTCATCTCCTTAGTATAAGTATGTTGTCCTGGCTAGGTCATCTCGTTAGTTATAAGTAGTGTCTGGGCATGCGCGTGCATCTCCTTTAGTTATAAGTTGCTGTCCTAGGCATGGTCATGCTCTTAGTATAAGTTGTGTCCTAGGCATGGTTCACCTCTAGGCATGGGTCATCTCCTTTAGTACTAGCGTGGTCCTTTAAGGGCATGGGTCATCTCCTTAGTATAGTTGTTCCTGGCTTAGGTCATTTTCTTCGACATTAGTATAGTGTGTCCTGGGCATGGGTCTCTCTTGTATAAGTTGTGTCCTAGGCATGGCCGTCACTCCTTAGTATAATTGTGTCCTAGGCATGGGTTCACCTCTTAGGCATGGGTCATCTCCTTAGTATAGGTTGTGTCTAGGCATGGGTCATCTCCTTAGTATAGGTTGTGTCCTGGGCATAGGTCATCTCGTTAGTATTAAGTAGTTGTCACTGGGCATGGTCATCTCCTTAGTATAAGTTGATGTCCTGGGCATGGGTCATCTCCTTAGTACAGTGATTCCTGGGCATGTGGTCATCTCCTGTGTACAAGTTGCTGTCCTGGGCGTGGGTCATCTGCCTTGTACAAGATTGTTGTACCTGGGCATGGTTCTCTCCTTAGTTCGGTTGGTCTTTGCGGATGCGGCCATCTCCTTTAGTATAGGTTGTGTCCTGGGCACATGGGCCATATCCTTAGTATAGGGTTGTGTCGGGTCGGGCCATGGGTCATCTCCTTAGTATAGGTTGTGTCCTGGGCATGGGTCATCTCCTTAGTATAGGTTGTGTCCTGGGCATGGGTCATCTCCTTAGTATAGGTCATCTCCTTGGTATGGGTTGTCTCTTTGGCAGATGGTCGCCTCCTGGGTATGCATCATAGTCAATATAGTTGGTAATCTTCTGGTCAGTTGGTAATTTTAGCTTATGGGGCATTTCATGGATGGATTATCACCTCCTGGGTAGTTGGGCATTGTGAATTTTATTGAAGATTGCCAGCTTTGGGGATACAGTCTAAAAAGCACGAAATTCCTTGCATAAAACTGACGTTCATGGCAAGCTAGCATGTGTGAATACGAGTGCCAGCTGTGTACGAACGCATACCTCTGTGTGCAGGTACTGCACAGGAGTGCCTGAGACACAGCAAACATCTGCCAACAATGAGGTCCTGTTGGTTGTCACAGCAAACTATGGCCGTCCAGTCCGCTTTGTTGCCCACTACAACGGTAAGTGCCTTTGATGCTCAGTTTTTTGCATACCTATGGTGCTCTTCTGCATAAACTGACAATTGTGATCGCAAAAATGATATATTTTTCCATGCAGTGAGCTCTTGTGATGGCATGTAAAGAATGGCGTACTAGGAGTGAGACTCAAATTGGCATCATCTACGCTGAAAAGATGTAGTCTGTCCAGCAAGCAATTTTTCCAACAGATTTCAGAAATATGTGTCAGAGCAGGCACGATGTGGAGTGTCACCTGTACTACACAGGCATACCACTAGTGTTTCATTCCAACATCTAACCTTGGCTGTAGATGACAAGTTGCTATAGCCGGACTGAGATACCTTCTATTATTAGTGTTATTATAGATGGCCAGAAGCACTTAGATTTACCATGCCTGAGCCACATAAGCGTGTGAAAAATAACTATTCCAGTGATATGGTATATTATAAGGTGGCGTGTCCATCTTATTGGACTTAATTGAGTGATTCTATCAAAAAATTGCACTAAGAAGACCAAGTTAGTTAAATATAGTTTGTGTGTTATATTGGCTTCTTGGTAATGCAGTTAAATTCTGATGAATCACAATGTAAGGCATGGGTGTAATTAGTATTTCTGTATAAAAGCAAGAGAGCAACTGGGTTGCGATTAAGCTGTTATTTAATTGATTACAGAAACGTGCAAAAGATGGGTTAAGTGCATTAATAAAATATCATTAATACAATTGAGTTCTTAAATGGCTTTTATAACTATTTAGAAGCATGATGCACACGATATTTATAAGTTATTATAGCCCATAAATCTATTCTAATGTATGCATATTAAAAAAATATTTACATTAATGTTTGAACATGTGACACATTTAGGAGCATTTCTGTGCACTAATCAGGTTAGGAAAGTTCAAACATGAATATAGTAAAACGTTTAGAAACATGGAGGATATATATATATATATATATATGTGTGTGTGTG